AAAAAAACAGAATATTGCATGCTTTTGATTATAAGTATTGTCCTCTTGTGATGGTGCCATGTCACTTATGAAAGGGGATTAGGACCTATGATAAGCCTGTAAGCTGTCAGTTATTTCCTGCTAACAGACTTATTGGTTCTAGAGACTTGCATAACATAGTTGGATGAGAAGTTGAAGTCTTGAGAGTCACTGTTGCATGCCATTCAACCTGCTACTTCATGTATAAAACTAATGTATAAAACTAATGATATGTTCTTTCCAAATCACCTTTGTTTTCTTCAGACTTTCTCTACTCAGCACTTCCATCAGATGAACGGATCTCCTAGTATATAGGATGCTCTCCTGCAGGAGATACATGTGTTCTCTAAGCTATTGTTAAAGTTTTTTCAGATAAAATATCTAGGGAGTTTCCTTTGTAACATTCATAACCTTTAATATTTTATTCCAGAAGTTCTGTTGTTGTTGTTAGTTGTGAAGTCATGTCCAACCCATCACAACCCCATGGACAACATTACAACATTCCCCCAGGCCTTCCTGTCCTCTACCATCCTCTAGAGTCCATTTAAGTTCATGCCTACTGCTTTGGTAGCTCCATCCAGCCACCTCATTCTCTGTCATCCCCTTCTTCTTTAGCCCTCAATCTTTCAGAAGTTCTATAGTCTAGTTTATAATAGCAGTTTGACATTCTGGGATAGCTCCATCTCACCAAAAGTTCTTGAAGTACAGTATGGGAGGGAAAAGAGGCTAGCTAGAGAATGCTGTGTTGGGGTTTAAGTAATGAAATAGTAAAACAAACTCAATAACAGACCCATGTATTTGAAGAGGGGAATTCTGAACTAAAATAGATTGAAGCATTCAAGTTTTACCTATTAGTTGAAGTCTGCTCATTTACACTTGATGCTGGAAATGACTTTTTGACATGATATTTTAATGTCAATGCTTAGATAAAGAAGACATTTGCTTTACCCTCTGATCTGACTAACTTGGAGTTCAGTGGGTTTCAGAGGGAGGAAGGTATTTCTGCAAGCAAAGCCAACTTTTAGAAAGTTGCTGGCAATAAAAGCTTAGAAATACATTTCAGTTCTTTGAGACTGCTCAAAGGAGAGTAATATTCTTTTGCCCCTTGGATACTGCTAGAAATTGTAGGCCCATAATTCTAAAGTTTTGCACACTAATTTCTTGTTAAATTGATTCCATTGCCTTGTGAATTATAAATTTAAATCATGTCAAGGAGAATTTCTCATCATGTTTGAATCTCAGAATTAAAAAATGTGACTACACAGCAAGAGGGAGAGAAGGAGATTACCATGTGTTTGCGTATATACTGTAACATCTGAGTAAGTCAAGGTCAGAATTACAAGCAGATGGATCTGCGACGTTTTCAGTACAGTGTCCTTCTGTACTGTACTGGAGAGAGTGCCTCTCTTTAAAGCAATTTAATGTCACCTTACATGTAACTCTGATCCTCTAGTAGGATTTGTAATTAATAAAAGTGTCTCAATGTGGCTTCATTTAACTAAACTTTTACTAAGCTGCTTATAGCAATAATAGATTTATTAAGATGCACACCTTTTATTTTTGCAAATGTTAAGTAATGTTGTTTGGCATTAAAATATCATACAGTAACAGAACTACACACACACCCTTTTGCAGGTGTGCATAATTTTTGTGGGTTTCCAAGGCATGCTTAGGGGTTTCTTAACAATTTGGTAGGCATGTTCATGTCACATCTGGTTCATCTTTGGAACAGACTACCCAAACCCTTGATTGTGAGACCTTATTCTGATCACTGATACCAGGCAATGTTTTGTTTTCCTAGAAGTAATGGGAGGAATGAAATTGAGAAGATTGTTGGAACAATTGTGATCAAAAGGATTATGAATGAGCAACAGCAATAGCAGTTAGACTTATATACCGCTTCATAGGGCTTTCAGCCCTCTCTAAGCGGTTTAGAGAGTCAGCATATTGCCCCCAACAACAATCCGGGTCCTCATTTTACCCACCTCGGAAGGATGGAAGGCTGAGTCAACCCTGAGCCGGTGAGATTTGAACAGCCGAACTGCAGAACTGCAATCAGCTGAAGTAGCCTGCAGTGCTGCATTTAACCACTGCGCCACCTCAGCTCTCTGCTATATGCTTAGAGAATTGCCTGTTCTTCTAAACATGTAATGTCCTTATGGATTTCCTGCAAGTCCCACTGTTCAAAGTGGCCCAAACTCAGTGAAGAAGGATAGGTGCGATAAGGAGACATTAGGCCTTCTAGATGATTTTGTGGGTTACCCTTGCAGACATGTATTTAATGTGGTTGGGATTTTGGCCCAGTCCTGTAGGAGAAACTTCATTGGCCACTCCGGTAGATGATCTTCACTGAGACCTAGAAGGGAAGACTTCTCTCTCTAAAAGAGTTGGTATCCTACATTTGCAGCTCTAGCTTTTGGGTGGAATGGCCAAGGCAAATTTTGGTTGAACAGGTATATCTGTTATGGCTCTATTTAAACTAGGAAGCATTTTTACTGATTCATGCCCTCACGATAATATAATTGAATTAGTGCCCCACTCTATACAGGACTGATTCAGAAACTGCAGCTGCTACAAATATGGTGGTCAGGCTGCTAACTGGGGTTACTATTACAAAATTATGTTCATCCTGAGGTTGTAGCATTAGTTATCAATTCAAATTCCAAGGGCTTTGGCCAGATCCAGGTTAATGTCAGAGTTCCAAATAGTATCCTCAATAAAATAAGAGGCTAGAGATTCCTCAAAGTTCCAATTTATTAGAAGATTCATCTTGGCACGTCTGGGAAAACCTGAATCTGAAAGCTTCCAGGTTTTCCCCAACCAGTTGAAAGTTTAAGACCCTGCTCCAGCACCCACATGCCCATCACATGGTCCAATCAGTCACTGTCCAAAAGAAAGATTCCTCCCAGTGAAGCCCCTCCAGGTGCCAAGGCAAAATGACCTTCTGAGAAGTAATGTTATTTTGACTAAAAAGCTCCCATGCTCTACACAATTCCCCCTCCCAATTTCCAAACAGTAGAATGGAATATGTGGCAGGCTTGAGGCCCACTGTAAAAGATGGCTTCCAAGCCTGAAAAATGGGTTTGTTATCTATTTAGAACACTGTATGGCATCATGCTAGGATATATCAGAGATTGCCTTGCTAAATATGATCCCACCCATCTGGTTCAAATATTACAATTAGTGCCGAAAGAGTTGTGGACCAAAAGGTAGTCCTTTTCTGTAATACACCTGACAAAAAAAAAATCAAACTCAACTTTATTAGAACCAGAGGCCAGCCATGCAAATTGTTTACAAACAAAATTAAAATTCCTACTAGTAATTAATGCACTCTTATTAAAATCACTTTAAATATAGTTCACTAGCATGGCACCAAATTATGGCATTTTATGTAGCTGTTATCTTCTCTCTAATTTTACAAGCAATTACATAAAAAGATGGCCACATTGAGGATAATGTCTTCATCAGTAGCAAATAAAAGTACAAAAGAATAAAACAGATCTTAGTGGCCTTAACGTGTTGACAGAATTGGAGAAACATACTTTAATTAACTATCTTTCTAGAAATTACTGAATAAAAGTACAGTTTTTAGTTTCTCCCAGTGCACAAGAGTAGAGACACGTGCTGCATATACATATACACACACATATATACATATATACATATATACATATGTATGTATGTGTGTGTATGTGTATGTGTTTATATGTGTATATATATATGTGTGTGTGTGCATGTGTGTGTGTATGTATGTATACATATATATGTGTGTACGTGTATATGTATGTATGTATGTATGTATGTATATGTGTGTGTGTGTGTATATATATATATAGGGGGAGAGAGAGAGAGAGAGAGAGAGAGAGAGAGAGAGAG